TGTGGCGGGTGCCTACTTGGGAGGCTAAGACAAGAGAATCGCTTAAGCCCAAGAGTTTGAGGTTGCTGTGAGCTGTGATGCCATGGCACTTTACCGAGGGCAACATAATGGAGACTGTGTCTCCAAAAAAAAGAATTTAGGTCAAATGGAATCTCTTAATATAGGAAAAGGAATTTGTATTTAATATGTTTTGATTTTCATATTTATCCTGTTCTAAGCTCCTGAATTTTTAATTTTTTTTTTTCAGTTTTTGGCCAGGGCCAGGTTTGAACCCACCTCCTGCCCCCACCCTCATATGGGGCCAGTGCCCTATTCCTTGAGCCACAGGTGCCACCCCCTTCAAATTATTTTTGGATACTTTATTTTAATTATAGGTTTGGGATATTGAAAGGAAATTGAGAAGGTTGGTTGTGAGGGATGAATGCTTAATGGGATATGAAAGATTATTACTGCTAGATATGGCAGAATAGAACAGAAGACCTATAAATTGGTCTAGGACCAAGAAGACCTATAAATTGAATTGCTGGGATGTGGAAGTACTCCACTGGGGCTGGTGAGTTTGAGCCCAGCCCAGGCCTGTTCAAAACAATAATGGCAACTACAACAACAACAACCAAAGAAATAGCAGGGCATTGTGGCCGGAGCCTGTAGTCCCAGCTACTCGGGAGGCTGAGGCAAGAGAATCGCCTGAGCCCAGGAGTTGGAGGTTGCTGTGAGCTGTGTGACGCCATGGCACTCTACCGAGGGTGATAAAGTGAGACTCTCTCTACAAAAAAATAAAATAAATAAAATAAATTAAATAGTTATATTGATCATATCCACCCATGAATTTCCCAATCAACTACACTGCACTGATGCCAGTACAAATAAAATACTTAGTGTAATTGCTGAACTACATGCAAAAAAAGATATTCCTTTATTAAGTGTACTCCAGCCATATTATGTATTACTGATGAAACATTTAATTACAAATCCCTTCAACAGTGAAGAATTCTGAGCAAACTACTTCCATATCCCAACAACTCCACTGTTCACAGGTCTTTCTATTTTCTACAAAATCTAGCAGTAATAAAAGGAGGGAAGATTGCTTAATGCCAGTAGTTTGAGACCAGCCTGAGCAAAACCTCATCTCTACAGAAATTAGCTGGACATGGTAGTAAGCATCTATATTCCCAGCTACTTGGGAGGCTAAGGCAGAAGGATTGCTAAAGGCTCAGAAATTTGAGTTGCAGTGAGCTATGATGATTCCACTGTTCTGTAGCCTGGGTAAGACCCTGTTGTCTCAAAAAAAATGGAAAGAATATAGTTTTTAAAGTAAGTATGTTATTAGCTCTGCACCTAAGTACCAAAACAGTAGCCTTCTTCATAAATCACATTGCTGTTTTTTTTTTTTTTTTTCTTGAGGACGAGTCTCACTCTATTGCCTCAGGCTAGAGTTCCCATAGTTCATAGGCACCTCAAACTCCTGGGTAAGGTGATCCCCCTGCTTCAGTCTTCTTTGTAGCTAGGGCTATAGGCACCTGCCACAATGCCTGGTTCATTTTTTTTTTTTTAATTTTTAGTAAGAAGTGGGGGTCGTGGTATAGCTCTTTCTGTAGCTCAGGCTTGCCTTGAACTCCTGAGCTCAAGCAATCTACCCTCCTTGGCCTCCCAGAGTGCTAAGGTTACAGGCGTGAGCCACTGTACTTAGCCCTCATTGCTGTTTTTTTTTTTTTTTTTTTAAGAATTTTAAGTTTAATGAGAAGTAAAAAATAGTAGAAATAGAAAGAAGTTCATTTTCTTTAATATTGTACAAAAAAAGAGTAGAACTGAAAGTAAATAAACATTATCACATTTGCTTATGCCACCATCTAGTTCTTCATGTTAACTTTACTGTTCAAATAATAGAATGTAGGTGACAATTTAAGGATCAAGAAGAGGAGAAAACCAAAACCCTTTTCTACCACATTTATTCTTCTCCATTGTGTATAACTAACTGTGCATAGCTGTGCTCACAGACGCTTCTTTTACTTCTGCATTGCACAGAAGTTCAGTTGTGTATACAATTGAACTTGCTCAATGGCTGAGGGAGACTAGAAATGATGTGACCATTTCCTGATGTATTGTCACACAATTCAAACAATGTTGCAGGGACCAACCTATAATTTTTAGGGACTGCAAACAAGCATTTCTCGTGAAGCTGAACCAGGAACAACTTATGTTCCTTAGGCTTTGTAATATGTGCAGGAATATATGGATACTGGGGAGGTTCAAAATTTGGTCTCTACCAGTTACCTATGCAGTCATCAATGACCTAGTCTTGCAGAACTCCATCTTGATGCCCCAGTTATTGCTGGTTTTGATCAAAGTGAGCTGATGGAGGCTCATCAGCTCATCATTGGTGATGTTTTTGCTGTACACTGTGGACGCTACCTTTCTTTGCAATAATTTTTGGGAGGATTTCATATTTCTAGGTGATGCCCTTGAAATTTAAACCTTTAACCTCCCCATTTTCTCCTTTACTGCAGTTCAAAAATAGGGCAATATGATCTTGCATACATATCAGCCAAACATCCTTAGTGAATTCTAATCTCATATTTTTCTTTCTTTTTATTTTTGAGACAGAGTATCAAGCTGTGACCCTGGGTAGGGTGCTATGGCATCATAACTCACAGCAACCTCCAACTCGGGCTCAAGTGATCCTCTTGTCTCAGTTTTTCTATTTTTTGTAGAGACGGGGTCTTGCTTTTTGCTCATGCTGGTCTCAAACCTGTGAGCTCAAGCTGTCCACCTGCCTTGGCCTCTCCGAGTGCCAGGAATACAGGCCACAGCCACCGTGCCTGGTCAGTTATTGACATAGTATAAAAACAGCAAATAAAAATGAAAAGCAATTGGCTTTTTGAAAGCGAGGTGAAGATTCCAAGAGTGCATGTTTGAAAAAGTTAGGAAAGTTTTTTTTTTTTTTAAATGGAGCCTCAAGCTGTCGCCCTGGGTAAGGGTACCGTGGCATCACAGCTCACAGCAACCTCCAACTCCTGGGCTCAAGCAGTTCTCCTGCCTCCCTCTCCCAAGTAGCTGGGACTACAGGTGCGTACCACAATGCCTGGCTATTTTTTGGTTGCAGCCGTCGTTGTTTGGTGGGCCCTGGGCTGGATACGAACCCACCAGCTCAGATGAATGTGGTTGGTGCCTTAGCCTCTTGAGCCGCAGGTGCTGAGCCATTGACCTAATTTTCATAGGCCAGACATGTACCACATGCATGGATCAGTACAGTAGGAAACATGGCTGAATGTTCCTTATGTTGATCAGTTTGATACAGTCCCTTGGTGGTTAACTTACAGAGGTTCTACTGTACTTTCTAATTCCATCTCTAGAGTATGAGCTTCTGAAATTAAGTCAGGTTTGCCTGTTGGATGGCTGCATCAGTGGAGTTCAGTGAAAGAAACAGAAATAATGTCTAGCAATTTTCAGCAGTAAGATTTCAGTATGGAGAAATAGGTGCTACAAAATTGTTGAATGAGTTGATGGAATGGGAGTTAAGGGGCTGGCTGCCACTGGGCTTTTGGCTTCAAGGTCACTTCACCATTGCTATGATTCTGTATAATATAGATTACAGCAGACTAAAACTCTGAATAACCTTATGACTTTATATAAGTGTAACATATTTGCTATAGAGCAAAATTTAGCATTCAAGAAATGGATTTTGGACATGAAATATCCGAAGAATCTAAGTCTCTGTAACAATAAAATTCTGTGATTTGGACCTTATGGACAATCAAATACTGTTGACTTAAAAAAATGTATAGCAGGTAAGTGAAATGTTCCTAATTGGGAGGCTGATACACAAATTGGGCTGAAGTATTGCTCTAATTGTCACCATACCTCCCTAGAAAAACTGCCTTTTGATGACCGGGACGAATTGAGAGAAATCGTAACGGACAGATACGGGGCAGACAGTTATTTTTCTAGACTATTCAGATACATCAAGTGGATGGAATTCTTTCCTTCTTATAATTTGGAGTTGTTGTCTTTTATCCTTTTAGCCCTAACTCTTCCCTGTTGAAGCCAGCTTCATCCTCAAGTACAGGCAGTGTTACACTACTGGAAAAGGTACATTATAAAACAATTTTCAATCAATGTTGCTTTTTGGTGAGGAAAAAAACCCTTTTAGTTAATTCTGACCATACTAAATAATGATAAAATATCATTTTTGTTGATTTTGCAGTTTAACTAATTTTAATTCTATTTTCACATTTTCCAGTTTCTGCAGTTCTAACCAAGTCTATGTATTCTCTCTGGAGAATATTGGAATTAATTAATTCTGCCAGTGAATATATACTTTCACAATAAAAACAACAACCTTTTATAGGTTCATGATAACCAGTGAACCTCTAATGCAGTCAGCTTTAAGATCAGCTTAATGATCATGATCATTACGTTTTCTTTTTTTTTTTGAGACAGAGGCTCAAGCTGTCCCCTGGGTAGAGTGCTGTAGCATCACAATTCACAGCAACCTCCAACTCCTGGGCTCAAGCGAGTCTCCTGCCTCAGCCTCCCAATTAGCTGGGACCACAGGTGCCCGCCACAATGCCTGGCTATTTTTTGGTTGCAGCCGTCATTGTTGTTTGGTGGGCCCAGGTTGGATTTGAACCTGCCACCTCAGGTGTATGTGGCTGGCGCCTTAGCCACTTGAGCCACAGGCGCCGAGCTGATCATTAAGGTTTTAACATGACATGTCTATCTTCTTTAGGACTTGAAGATAAGAACTCTTAAAGAGAAAAATGAAACCATTTCTAAGAAAATACCAGAATTTGAAGTGGAAGATTCTCCATTATCAGATGTAAATAATACAGAAAATAGTATATTTGGAGGATCTCTGCCAACCAAAAAAAAAGATCCATTCCAAAAAGAGCAAGATCATCTGGTGGAAGAGGTTAGAAAAGATTGTAATAAGTACACTTAAATATTTATTATTTTCTCAGTGGTATTAGGATAATAAGTGAAATAAGGTAATTATTGACTAATAGGGATAATCTGGAGGAAAGGAGGTCACAAATAAGAAAAATCATAGTTAAAGCAAAATTGGCCCCTCCCCCCAAAAGTAAGAATAGATTTAATATAAATTTATTTAGTTAAGAGTTATAAGTATCATCTGAAAGTATAAAAATAATACATGTGAAATATTTTGGGGATTAACCACTGTATAAATTTTAAGATAAATATATCCAGTGATCATGCTCTTAAAATAGTTTGTCAGTGTTGTCTGTTGCTTAGCTGAGCTTCTGTTTTATTTGAATATTAGAAAAAAGAATATGCAATACTATATCACTGAGTACAGGTTTTATTCTTTTTGCTTCCTAAATATTTAAAAAAGTGATTAAATGCATTGTTCATGAACTTGATTATCCTAACCACCCTTAACTAACCAATACTACCATGCTCAGTATTATAGAACTGTTTGCACAAATTAAATACTCAATCCATTCACTAATAGTATTTTTATTACATGTTTTCTACAATATCCCTTAGCATTGCTTGAATTTGGTTAAACCTCCAGATGACAAATTACTTTTTATTCTTGAGAGACTAAAAGAACACTAATATAGTAGATATTAATTTGAGTATAGGAGTTCCCTCCATTCCTTTGTGTCTGATGAAACTGAATGAATGTTCAAATAAGAGACTGGATATCAGTTATTTTTTCTTGTTTGTAACAGTAGGACCAATTTCATGGTCTCTCAATGCTTTTAAATTTCTAGAGTTATATTGTTCCTCTTCATTGACTCAAACTAAAGAAAAAATGGTTAGTCCATCTTTTTTTCTTCCTAATTGTGGAAGGAAAGGCATATTTTCTGGCTAAAAAGATTTGGATTAGTAGTGGAATGGGATGAGATGGAAGGGAGGAGTCCTATAATCTCACAAAGCTCTACAAGTAAAGTGAGATTAGTTTTCTTTCAGTGTTTACCACAAGAGATATTTAGTGTTTGAATTCCTGAAAGCCCTCGTTTTCCTGGGTCAATTTGTTTATGGTTTCAGGAAGTTTATTTGTTAATGATCTCAGAAGGGCAGAGGTTTTAATTTATGTTTGTTTTCCAATTTTATCGATAATTAGTTAATAGAGAGTGCTATTTTCATATTATATACTTTCTTTTCTTTGTTTTAGAATGTGTCACTATGCTTTGTTCTCTAATTTAGATCTGATAATACCATTGCTGGCAAAGAAGCATATTATCAGAATGTATTCTGTTAATGGGGGTGTTACTGTGCAGATTGATCGTAATTAGGAAGAAGTTGCTTGCCTTAAAACTGGTTGTTTTAATGGATGCAGAGTTGTCATGCTCCAAGATGTGGCAGTTAGCAGCACAGGTCACTACACAGTCAGAATTGGCCCTAAATCTTCCCAGATATAAAGATTCTTAACTCTTCTGTCCTTTATAATGGGTTATCCTTTTACTGTAAGAAGGAAATACTTTCATGTTCCATTTCTCTTTATAGGATTGTACCAATATGAGTTATCTGGGAACTTCATTGTTCCTTAATTTTGCGCTGTTTCCTATGGGAGGTGCTGCTGACTATGAAGTGCTTATTCTTAACAGGGCTTTTGTTGCTTTGTAACAATGGGCTTGATAATTTTTGCTTTACTTTTTCTTTTCTGTTTTAGGTTGCCAGGGCAGTTTTATCTGATTCACCACAGCTTTCTGAAGGAAAAGAAGCAAAATTAGAGGAACTAATTGACTCTCTAGTTTCTAACCCCTTCTTAACAAGAAACCAAATTCCTCGTACTCCAGAAAACTTGAGTAAGTTTGTAATGCTTTCTATACCTTTTTTACCCTTTCTTAGATATTACCACTGTTAGAATCATGGCCTGACAGATCTTTTCAGCTCAGTTGGTAATGGCTCTTTGTTTATTCTAATATAAGGGACTTTTATTGAAATATTAAGTGTGGGCTCTCTCACTTTATACAGCCAGTTTTAAGCAGTGTTTTGTGTACTTTAGTACACAGAGGTATAATCAACCCTGATTATATACAGTTTTGTCTTTGTTATTTTATTTGTTTTCTGGAACAATTTTATTTGATCACTTTGTATTTTTATTTTTTTGAGACAAAGTGTCAAACTGTTGCCTGGGTAGAGTGCTGTAGTGTCACAGCTCACAGCCACCTCCAAATCTTGGGCTTAAACGATTCTTTTGCCTCAGCCTCCTAAGTAGCTGGGATTGCAGGTGCCTGCCACAATGCCCGGCTATTTTTTGGTTGTAGTTGTTATTTGAACCTGCCAACTCTGGTGTATATGGCTGGCACCTTAGCCACTTGAGCTATAGGCACTGAGCTTTGATGACTTTTTAAAAGTGCCCTGCTTCTGGATCTGATCTATGATCCACATTTATAGAGTATAGAGGCAGTGCTATCCTAATCAGCAACCAGAAAGCACCAGTCCAAAACTTTGTGCATAGGTCTTTACCGCTCCCAAATTAGTCAGACTGCCTAGAACTTTTTCCTATAATCCAGCAGTCCTCAACATTTTTGGCACCAGGAACTTGTTTTTTGGAAGACAATTTTTTCCATAGACTAGGGGAAAATCTGAGAGGAGATGGAGCTCAGGCAGTGATGTGAGCAATGGGGAGCAGTCATAAATACAGATGAAGTTTCACTATTTTCGGATCACCTTCTGTTGTGCAGGCCAATTCCTAACAGGCCATAGACCAGTACCAGTCCGCAGCCTGGGGATTGGGGACCATAGCCATAACCCATAATGTGTGCAGACAAAGTTCTAATGTTAGTGTTCTTATGTAGGCAGATCATCTTTGTTGAGTGATTAAATATAATTTGTGTTACTGCTGATTTAGGTTGAACTGAGCCAGAGCCTGGGTCAGTAGTCAGCAAACTATAGCTTGTGAAACAAATTTGGTCTTGTCCTGTGTGTTTTTTTGTTTATTTTATTTTTTATTTTTTGTTGTTGTTGTTGTTTAGCTGACCTGGGCTAGGTTTGAACCTGCCAACCCTGATGTATGTGCCCAGGGCCCTACCCTCTGAGCTACAGGCACTGAGGCTGTCCTGTATGTTTTTATAAATAAAATTATATTGAACACAAGCTTGCTTATTTATCAGTATTGTTTATGGCTGCTTTCATGATGTAATGGCAGAGTTTAGTCACTGTTTTATTAGAGTGCAGGCCTGAAAAGCCTAAACTATTACTATCTGGCCATTTATAGGAAAACTTGCCAACAACTGTTCTAGGTGGAAGATGGTGTCTTTTTTTTTTTTTTTTTTTACATATGTTGTGTAAAAGTAGATGCACATTTCAAGGGCAGCTTTTGTTTGGTGTATTTACTTGAGTTTGATCAGTTGGGAGGTGGAGTCCTTTGATGTTATTAAGGTTTGTTATATTGTGGAGCCTTGTCATTCAACCAGTATGTACAGGGAGTGTAGATTGAATCAGTAGCTTTATCTATAGTACTAGAAATAAAATGATTAATTGCATGCTTTTTGTTTGGAAATATTAATAGTGTCTTCCCCCCCTTTAATTAGTAACTGACATTAGGAGCTCATGGAGAAAAGCTATTGAAATGGAAGACAACAAAAGTGAAGAACCAGTGCAAATGGATACTAAACATAGAGAAGTATCATCAGAATCATCACCTGTGTTTCAAAATCAGAGAGAACTTAGTATGGCCAGTTTTCTCTTAGAAACCACTGTCTCAGATATTGGCCAGCCTCTTTTGTCTGAAGAGAAGAAAGTTGTTTCAGATCGCAAGTGTGTACCTCAGAATTATGCAGTGACCAGACACATAGGTGAACCACCAACACAAAGTCAGTCAGATTTATTAAGTAAGAAGATAATTTGTAAGCAAGATTTGGAATGTACAGCTTTACCAACCAAGTTATCGGAAACTAGCCAAATAGTGACCTTCTCTCCTGCTATGGGTAGTAGGATAGATGTGATGGGCAGTAGTGAAGAGCAGCATAGTAAAATTTTAGACCACTCACAAGCTTTTAGTAACAAACCTTCCATGAATAAAACTATATTACGGGACTCTCTTCAAATATCAAGTAGTATTAGATCTGAGCATTTTAAGGATATTGATTTTGGCATATTATGTGAAACTCTTCCAGAAGAAGTTGGTCACCTGAGTCTCAATAGCTCCAGTAGTTCAGAGGCCAATTTTAAACCGGAACCAGATACTCCTGTGCACAGTAGTATTTTTCCAGAAGATGTTAAGGGAGAAAGACCAACTACTCCAGAATCAGACTTCAGTTTACAGGCTATTTGTAGTAGGTATGAGGCTCTGAAGAACTCTCTTTCCAAGAAAAAGGAAGACTCTTATCTCTGTAATCCTGAAACACTTGAAAGACGCAAACCAGAATTGAGCCCCACTCCCCAAGATGTGCAAACAGATGATATGTTTAACTTTTTTGACACTCATGATTTGCATATTGAGTATACAAAACCATCTTTACGCATGTCTCTTGGTCAAAGAAAACAGTCTCTTTCACCACTAATTAAGTTTTCTCCAGTGGAGCAAAGATCGAACACTACAATACCCTGTAGTGTTGGAGAATTACTACCTAATTTAAAAGGTAAGATTTAAGTAGTCTTGTGCATATTTATCTGAAGTTTTCTCTCAACTTTTCATAAAAATAGTATACAGTGAATGTTGCATGATCTTTGTCATTAATTTGACAAAGTAATGCTCCTTGTTCCTTCATCTAGGATGAGAGGAATGATCCATCACTTTATGGATTCTTTCAGAATCTCTACTTTCATGTTTATACCTTACAGTCAACTTGGGTGAGGGGTGGGGGCAAAAAACCCTCCAAACTTGAAATTTGCTGCTTTTGTAATAGAAACTATTGAATGTAAATCTCATCAAAATCTTCTTGTCTAGTGGAAGGTGGTTTTAGAAAAGTTGAGAAAGATAGTTTTAAATGTCACTGTTTTGTAATAATATGTTTGTGATTTTTTTTGAAATAAATTTTGTAGGAGACATCTTGAATAAGAGCTTTGATGCAAAAGAATCTCCATCTGATTTGACAAGATGAAGCAGTTCTCAATTAATTTAACTATGATGCACTTAAATTGAAGCAGTGTCACCGAATGGAAACTGATCTATAACTTAAATATTTGTTAGAAGTGTAATACGCTTTTTCAAGGTTTAAAAAATCCTAAATACATTTTAGTCTCTTGTAATGTTTTTAGGTAAGAAGAGTATGTTGGATTTTTTTCTCTGTAAGGATAGAGGGGTGAATGTGAAGTATCTGGAAAGCAAATGTCAACTTATGGGAAGCCATTTTGATTTCATGAATAATCTTGTAAGCATTAAATACAAAAGGAGTAGTTTAATTTATGTTGTAATTTCAGTTAACATAGTTTTTGTCGTGCTTTTACTTAAGTGGTTGATAATAGCCATTGAATATACTGATCTTTAACTTTAGAGAAAAATATAACTTTTATTGTTTCTTTATGGAACATTCTGGTACTAACCAGAAAAAGTGAGGAAAGTAGTGCCTTAGGATGTGTAGTCAAGATGACAGATTTTAAGACTGGGAAAGCTCTAAATAAGTTTAATGATTATTCTAGTGGATTGATCCTGAGAAGTGATGTTTGATGGAATAAACTGCATGTGATGATAAGTGAAGACTGGGACAGCATGATTTTTAAGAAGGGAAAAAAGATGGAGAAGATGACTAGACACTTCCAAGGAACACTGCAAACTATAAATCCATTCAGTGGGTTGTTTAACATTTATATTTAGTCTAATTTAGACTTTGAGAATTTAATCCTTATTTTATATTTTAACATAAATATAAATTAAAAAGTCATTAGTCTGTTTTATTGTTGTTGGTTTTTTGGGGGGTGGGTATGGATGCAGTTTTTGAGAGAGGAACTAGTTTTAATTTGCTCAAACACCATCAGAGTTCCCCTGTGCCTATAATAGCTTCAAAATAACCCAAGAATTGAATTTAAATAACTTGTAATTTTTTTTTTTTTTTTTTT